CAACACCACCTCAGCACCACGTAATCATGAGGTCGGATTTGCAATATCCGATCGCCTCCATGGTCAGCTGGTGGGTGAACCAACGAGCATCAGCGCGCGACTGATGACTGTTCACCTACGACTCGGGAGAGGTAAGTTTGCCACTTTTATAAGCACGTACGGTCTGACCATGTGTTATCCTGATGACACGCGTGATCAATTCTACACTGAGCTATCCTCCGTGATACGGTCTGTGCCAAAGAGCGACCGACTATTTCTGCTGGGTGATTTCAACGCGCGCGTTGGGCGTGATGCATCGGTCCGCATGGTATTGGTTCAGTGAATGCGAACGGTGACAGGCTGCTCTCACTGTGTGTCGCTCATGGCCTGACGATCACGAACGCTCGGTTCGCACTGAGTGCGAGTAATACAGCAACATGGACATACCCACGTCGTGGGCACGCTCATCTGCTCTACTATGTCATCGTACGTCAGCGTGAAGTGCGTATGACATGTGTGCTGCGTGGAGCTGAGTGTGGCACTGATCACAAATTGGTGCGCACCAAACTGTACATATATTTTCGTAAATCTATGTATTGCACTCCCGCCGTGAATCAGCGTAAGTTTACCATTCTCTCCCTGGGTATTGTGGAGAAATGTACTGAGCTGGAGAAGGTGATGGCTACACGCCTGTGTGATGTGGAAGGCATAGCTACAGTGTGGCACCACATTCGCGACCAGGTGACAGCTGTCGAGGAGACCATCGGGCGCGCAAATCGTAAGCGGCCTGATTGGTTGAATGAGAACAATGCGACGATTGGCGCATTGGTATTGGAGAAGAATGCAGCATTTGCTGCATATGTGGCGGACCCCAGTGATTTGAGGAAGAGTAGTCAGTTTCGCAAACTACGACGGCGACTGACCCGACAGTTCCGTCGCATAAAAATGCATGGTGAACGGAGAAGGCAAAGCAGATGGAATGCTACGCCGAACACTGCCAACACTAGGAATTCTTTGATACCTTGAAGGCGGTGTAGGGACCGAGATTGGAGCCGCTGACGACGCTGATCGATGGTAGTTCAGGCGTTACCTGCACACAGACTGCAGACATAATGCAGATCTGGCGAAAGCGCTTTGACTGTCTCTTGAAAAACCGTTCAGCGATGATCGACTGGCCTACATTGAATTGCCTGAAGCAGCACGATGTGAAGACAAGTCTGGCGGACACGCCGACACTTGATGAGACGCAGAGAGCACATGCTCAACTGCGAAACGGCAAATGTGCCGGAGCCGACGGGATCCCGCCTGAAGTATTGAATCACGACGGAGCCGTGTTGGTGATTGCGCTGCACCACTTGTTACAACGTGTATGGATTGAGGAGGAGTTGTCTCCTGAGCTGAATTATGCCCATCTGCTACCATTGTACAAGGGCAAAGGGAGCAAGCAATGTGGTGCGAATTATCGTGGCATCAACCTGCTGAGTTGTGTGGGCAAGGGGATTGACCGAATTCTGCTCAATCACCTCGTCAGTCAGGTTGTGGAACCCAACATGGCGAAAAGCAATGTGGGTCGCGGCATCATCGATATAGTGTTTGCGGCTCGTCAGTTGCAGGAGAAGTGCAGAGAACGACACCAGCCGTTGTACTCGCTGTTTGCGTTTATGTCACCGTGCGATCATTCCTTGTGTATCCCAAATGTCAGGTAGCCGCTGGAATGATCGGTGGCCTGTATCAACAACGAATGGCCGACCCAATATAAAGAACAGATTAATCTGGAAAATAGGCCGAAGCTAGCATCACCCGTTGCGTAGTTGAATACTGTCGTTCTTGCTTAGCCATCTAGCAGCTGGCGAAAAGTATCATTATCCCTTGACCGCCTTTGCTTTGCGATCAGGTCGCCCTAATAACGGTGTCACTTGCATCGGTGCAAGGGCCGTGAGTTCGCTGGAAATTAACGCTTACAATGGAATCAAAAGTGATTGATGCAAAGATTAAATCTAAGATACAATGCAGCGACCCCAGCACGATTCGTCCGCGGCTTTTAACGTCATGCGCAGTGGTGGGCTGACAACCAGCTCCCACATTTTTGCATACTTTGTTAATCTTGACTTATAATTTATTCGTTTATGACACATGGCGTACTGAAGCAGATCGAATCAAACAAATCACAAAGAGGATAGCTGTTGTGACCTCCAAGCTTTAGATTACAACGCTAACACCTACATTAGACCTCGGAAAAGAAGAAAGCTCAAACAGAGTAAAAAGATGCACAATAGTGTGCACAAAAGATGAGACACAATAAACCTTTACGTTGGAGACCTGTCTTTTAAAACCGATGTTGTTCAGGCAATACCGACGGAGGTTCCAGTGAATTAAGCGAGATCACTGTTTTAGTCGGTAAGGTTTTGGATAGATCTTTCGAGAATTTTCCATCAGGTAACAACTCAGTCGATTCACACACAATACGAAATCGTCACTAGGAGAAAGAATATTAGGTTGCCGTATTTCGGTTATTTACACCACATGAATTTCTGAATTCCGGTGGAAGTTGCCAGGACGGGATGCCCGTCTATTTTAAGCCGTCCTATAAGAACATCCCACCTCTGAAGCCAATTATTGTAAAGTGGTTTCAGCAGTCAATCAAGACCTGAAAGAGATCAGCAGATGGAAACGCTAGAAGTAGAGTTTGCTAAGGAACACAGTGACGTACAGCGTGTTAGAAAAAACAAAGAGGGGCGCGAAAACAGCATGTAGCGACAGTGTGAACTAAATGTTGAAAGAGCCCGGGCAATGTTAAGCACTACTTCAAACGTGTGAGCGCAAATGATCAATGCTTATTTTGCCTCCCAGCATTCCTCTTCTAGCAGCATTATATTCAGTTGTGAAAGCTATGAATAAATGAGAAAATCTAGGCACGTTTAAATGAAGTTAGGATCCTCAGAAATCACCATCCCGCGATACGAAGTCGATGATGGCGCGCATGCGTGCCCAGTTGTTCAAACAAGCGAACACAGAAAGACACTAAATTCCATAGGCACATGGCAAAACTATTTTGGACTAGTATGCGGATACCTTAAATGAAGGGGGAAGTCGTCTGACCGCTGCACAGCTTCCCTCATGGAAGGGGAACCGTGGGTGACCCATCGATCTACGTGACGACTGTCTATCACCGGACAGCTTTCTGTGAATCCAGGTCAACCTAATGCAGTTTCTGCGACAGCACCAGTGCAATGGGACTCTAGTGGGCTCAATTCGTCCCTTTCTTACCGGTGCTGAAACGGGACATTTATAGGGTGAACAGTGCTCACTAGTATTCAAGCTTTAGCCTGTATGGGAAAGTTGCAGGTGATGACTATACAGCGCAGCATGTAAGTAACGTATTGATGCGACACGTCAAAAATAAGATTGGGGAACAAAAACCGTGAATAGAACATGCCGCAATGCTTTTCACGCAAATATAAGCAAAAGTTTGGAAGTTTATCCCATTTATCTTGCTCATTTGATGTTCTTAAAGTTAGCGAATCACTAAGAATTGAGAAGTACAGAGTACCAAAGAGCGGAATTGTTGCAGGAGCGCCAAGCGACCCAGCGAAATTTACAACCCACAGCCCGCGCGGTGCGGCCACCAACATAGTAGAGTCACAGCGAGCGCAGAGGGTACGGAATTGAAGAGGTTTTTTGAATCTCACACCTCGACGTAGTGAACCATTCTTTCCACAATAAAAGCGGGGCCCAGGTCTATTTTGAAGTCGTTTAGTCGTAACAAATCTTGGCGTGGGACTAGGGGGTGTGCGTCAATTAATCGGCATGGTTGTTGTGCTTCACTCAGCGGAATTTGGGTGTGCGACCAACTTCTCGGATGTGTTGTAACCTGTTCACCCGTCTACACTACGCGTGGGGCACAGTTTACAAGAGCAAATTACCCGTCGACTAAGACTACCTACGAGTGAAGCGTCACCGAACTAGGCTGAACTGGCTACTGGGCGACCAATCCAGAGCAGAGAAGGACGAATCTATTACCGATCGACGGCAATGTTATTACAGAAGTCATTCGAACTATTGGTGGCAAAAGGAGTACCAATCGGATCACGAGACACCAATGGAGACCCATAAGCTTCCCCGATCCGACTAAAATCTCATCGCCCAGACCACCTGACTGGACTGTTTGGTGAGTTCAGCCACCTTCTCTAACACACTACTGGGCGCTAAAAATTGAGTGGCACAGACGAAGCCCAAATTAAGTAAAATGGGAAAACATTTGTCGATGACACGGGCGACTATACCGTATGATCTACAAACAATTGAATCAGAGTTCCAGAACCACCCAACAATAAATAAAGCTTGCAATCAACGAGATAAAAGGCGAAAGGGAGGTGAGAACAAGGGCGAAAACGCAAAGCAATGGCAACAGACTGCCGTGTGGCTTCCTGGTCAAGGACAGTGTCGTGGGTTGCAGAGGCGACGGTCGAAAGATGGTCGTTTGTCGGTTAGATACCTGCCAAACTGCAAATATCATTTGCGCAAAATGACAGCCGAACCGTAAAAAGGGACCTGACTGTGTGTATTGCTCAGAAGCACTAACATCGTTACACCTGATCAACGACACACAGTCGCGTTAGTTTGAATAAGAGAGTGGGCGATAAGCCACAAGAACTTAATTCCAAAAACCAACAGTCGTCGAGCAAATGTGAATGAGACTTGAGTGAAAAAAACTGAACATCCAAACTGATTGAACAAAATGTTCATCACAGTTCACCTGAGTTAAGGCAGAGGTCACAGCAAAAAATAAGGCAAGATATTCCCTAGAATCAGTAAAAAGCAAATGAAGGAATGTACATTAGTGATGTGGCTGTAGCAGCAGAGTGCGACACAGTCGGTCAGCAGCAAACAGAGAGGGAAAATGGGTCGGAGCTAAGTGAGTTAAGAAGCAAATGGATGGGGCTTAGAGAATATTGGAAATCGGTGACGGCCTTGTTATTCGATTTGGAGGAACGGAAGTAAAGAAGTTGTGTAAGGATATCTCAGCGACTTGAGGGGTTACTTTTATTCGGCTGGAACCAATCCGTTCTATTTTGATCGCGGTGGGAATCCACATGGAAGGCAGAGGAAAGGCCAACTGGAGGAAAGGTGGGCAAAAAGGCCGGAGATAGGGACAGGGGTTGATGATGACTCAGTGCATCGTATGACGAAGAATGAGCATTATTGCGGACCTAAAAACAGAGAGTAGTATGATCAGGGCGTGGAGTGCGTATGGAGAAGAGCCTAAAAAGTTCGTTCAGTTGCAATAACGGAACGAAGGACATAAATGAATCGTGAGCAAGCGCGCAAGTGTCCAAAGACAAAAAATGGACTATAACTAGGGAAATTACATAATCCAAGCCTCCAATCCAATGGAGAAGAGAAAAAACTTAAAGTAACGCGAAGAGGCACATATATTTGTAATTGTCAGGAGGAGCACCTGGTGAAGAGTGGATCAGTTGAACCTACATGGATCAAAGCCAACATTTTTCCAGAAATTCAATGGAATAATCGCATTGGTCGATCAAAAGGTTTTCGGAGAATTTTATGCCATTATTAGTAGGTAATGCATAGAAGAGAACAAATAATATTCAAAAAGGTTACCATAGATACATAAAAGACGGTAGTCCGTCCAATGTAACTACCTCATGTTTGGCGGCTAGTAAACTAGTACCCGAACCCTTGTATTCATGATCGTCTAATTGGTGTTTAAGTTTTCGAACAACCAATCAGATCGGCCTGGTACGACCTTAGTGACCATAAGAAAATAGCGAGTAAGAAGTTTCGATCGGACAACACGATAATGCTGCCTCCAGTGGAGGAGTTCACGGCAAGTTTTAACATTAATTGAAGCCAATGTAAGGTCAGATATGGTTGACCGAGAATAGCTTCCAGCGTCTTGTAGTAAAAGCAGGATCAAACACTGAAAGGTAGCAGTTAGTTGTCGATCCAGTTGCTTACAGCATTCGAATCGCGGTTTAGAAGATACGAAGGCGTTTTTCTGTCTGAACTTGTTGAGGTTGATGACGGATGAAAGTGCAGACGGTTTTTACGGGAGCTTGGAACCGATGAGTACGACAAATTTCTCTATCATATTTTATAAAAAGGTCCTAAAGATTTCACTTTCGACCAACTTGTACTGTTCTCCGAGCTGTGTGATTATGTGTAGAAGTTTCGTTGCCTGACTAGGCAATATCATCAGTGCGACTTCAGGGGCCTGGTTCGCAGTGCCGGCTTTTATCCCTTCCGAGGGCGTTCAAAGCAGAACTCGATCAATAAGCACTTGGACATTGAAGTCGCTTACGAGGCACTGCGAACCAGGTCGCCTGAAGCCGCACTGTTGCCTAGTCAGGCAACGTAACGTCTGCACAATAACCACTCAGCTCGGAGAACAGCTCAAAATCCGCAACTTGTACTTTTGTTAAATGACATTTTTGATCAACAGTCTTCCGTATTCAACATCCGATAAAGCCGCATAGGCTCCTAAAGGGTGCAAAAGACGACTTCGTAACTTATGCGACTACTGTCAATCGTTATTGCGAGCGCTACAAGCTGAAAGAAATGACGGATGATCAGTTCAAGATCCGAAGATGCCGACGCATCAGGCTGTCTAGCAAAAGTGAACAGAACGCGTTCATCAACCTCAAGTCTATCACGTCAAGCAACTTGATTGCCTAAGGCTGCGGTCAATGTTCCGTTGATGTGCTCGCGATGTCAAACCAGCGTGGAAAGCCACCAAATGTTCCAAACTCAGTGAAGCCAAACAGACAGATCCGTATGCTGGCAATGCGGCCAATGGCATTTCGTCAGATGCTGTCTGCTCAAGAAGCATCTTTGTCAGAAAATGCAACAAACGAGGTCACAAAGAAGATAATAGTCATATATAAATAATTTTAATATTAACGTCTGCACCAAGTATTTCAAAAAGCTTGTACCCACATCTCTGACGAAAAAATGATTTCAGCTTTATCCTGTTTTTGCTACCTTCGATGCAGAGGTTGCAAAGCGCAGAAGGTTCGTTACGGCGCTTGTGAACCAAGTGCCCATGCGTCTCCAAGATGATTGTCTCAGATATCATGTCATAACCGAGAAAAACCTTGGAGGAAAATCGATGAACAACCTGTTCAAAGAACAACTCGGATTGCTTGCAATGCTTCAGGAGGAGCGTCGAGGTTGTCCAGTGAAATTTATTGCACCGTAATGCTCAACGACTGTCAGTTCGAAGGGATTTGCTATGCTACAACATACCAATATATGTATTTACTCGGGCAAGACTGGATTGAAAATATGGGACCGCTTGATTTTTCACTGAATTCCGTGTGGAACAAACTAAGCGACGCGGCTGTGAGTTGGGCGGAGACGTTTCAGAGACAATATTTCCAGGTGTTTCAAGGTGGTCTGGGATTCTGCGCGAAAACCAAAGCAAGTTTGCTCCTACGGTCAGACGCCAAGGCGGTCTTCCGACCAAAGCGGAGGGTCCCATATACCGTGGTTTTGATTGTCGACAAAGAACATGACAAATAAATCAGCAGGAGTTAACAAACCTGCTAATTACTATTTATGGATAGCCCCAAATGTGATTGTTAAGAGTCCAAAAGGAAAGATTCACCTATTTACAGATTATTTTACAAGCCTGAATGCTAGGTTAGAAGACCAAGTACTCCCTACTCCATCCTGATGACCTTTTGCGTGTCCGAATGGTGGCAAGTGTTTCGCCAAACTGTACTTGTCCGATACATATCTCCAGGTTGAAATGCCGGATGAATCGCAGTATTTGCGAACGATAAACACCCACAGAGGACTATTTCAGTATATACACCTACCGTTTGGCGATAAATGGGTGCCCGCAATCTTTCAGCATCCATGGAAGATATCATCATGGTGGGGCCTCATTCAGCAAAACTACACCAACGAATTGGTGGTAGTCACGCGGCAGCGAAGCGCCGTTACGGCGTACAGCTGACGATTTATTTACCATTTATTAAGGAACAGAACACGTGCTTGAGAGGATCAAGGAGTATGGATTCCGCCTGAGAATGGGCACTGCGATTTTTTGATGATTAATATTACATACACAGGTTTTAGCACTTACCGAAGAGGGCGACGACCTGGTACATCAAATATCAAGAAGATCTAGGACATGCTCTCACATAAGGACGCAGCGACGTCCAGATCATTACTTGGCATGGTGAGTATAGTATCTATATATCGTTTATGTACGATCTGCGCGGGCCATCAAACAGATTACTGAAAAAGCATGTTCCGTGAGTCTGGCCCACTGAATATTAGGAAGTTTCTGATAAGATCAAGTTGGAAGTAAATTCAGGACTGATGCTAACGCACTACGAGCCAAAGCTGCCAATCGTTGTGGCACCAGATGCAACCAGCTACGAAGTTAATGCAGTTGTTACGCACATTTACCCAGACGGAATTGACAAGACAGTCGCTCATGACTCTCATTCGCTTACCGCCCCAGAAGGAAATTATATCCAAATTGAGAAGGAGGCTTTCGCTATTGTGTTTTCCGTGAAGTATTTCCACAAAATGCTATCTGGCCGTCATTTTACTAACGGACCATAAGCCGCTTCATGTTATAATCGGCCCGGAGAAAGTAACCTCAGTATATACGGCAAACTATTTGCAGAGGCGGGGCTACGATACTGCCGGGGTATGGCTTCAACATCAAATACCGATCGAAAGGCGACATTTCTCAGGCTGACGCGCCATCAGAATGATGGTGTTTGAAAGACGCACCAAGAATTTGCCACCTACGGAGCGTACTTTCTACCGACTTCCAGATAATCAGCGAGCTGCGTATGCGGGTATGGAATGCGGCTTCTCCACTTAGTAAACTGACCGTTGGGGTGAAACTGTCGGTTCTCCTGTACGGCCGTGAAACTTGAACGCTGTACCGGAAGGACGTCCGTTATCTAGAGTAATTTCATCAATATTACCTGCGTCGGGTTATACGCATCGGTTGGTGTGACAGAGTTGCAGATACGGAAGTGCTGCGTCGAGGTGACATATATGCAGTGGACTGCATACTTTTGCTGCGGCACCTGAAGTGGCTCGGGCATATTCTTCGCATGGATTCCACGAGGATGTTGTAGCAGTTGCTATAAGGCCAAATGTGTGCAGAGAAGCAGAATGTGAAAAAACAGAAGCTTCGTTACCAGGACATGATCAAGGTGAAGTTAACATGAACTAATGTTGGCTCTACGTGTAGGGAAAACAAGGTAGTGGACCGTCGCCAATGGCGTGCTTACATAAAGAATGCAGTGGCCCAGGTGGAGGAGAGCGTGGATGCATAAAATAAGGAAAGGCAGGTTAAAGAAGCGATACGCAACGATAGAGTCTACCCCATCGATGTCAAGCGCATGGTGCTGTAGCACATGAGGTCGCGAGTGCCTGAGCCCAGCCGGTCTGGTAAACCACCAGCATGGCCACGCGGGTCCAACATCGAAGAGGCGACGAGTCAGCTGAATAGGTATAATTAGTAGCGCAGCGCTTTGTAAGTACGCTGCTTCCGGTCCAACTCGCTTTATTAACCCAGGTCACTAATGCGGTCCATCTGGCACGTCTGCTGCGCCGTTGTTGAAGTTAGTCAGTATGTAAGCATGCGCATCGATTTGCTTGCATTTCAGGTGTTTGTTGATTGATAATCCTGGGTGACTACGCTTGATGTGAACGTTGATAACGTGTCTACCAGTCTAACGCCCTCCACCTCGATTACTGTCTCCAAGTGACTGCTAATCGTTGCTCTGGAAGACGGAGTGCACGATCCTTGAGACCATGGTGGGCTAAATCAACATCCATCCACGTTAGCTGAGGGTGAGGAACACACCTCAACTAATGTACCGCAATACAAAAAAGAGGAGATTAAAAGTTACAGGCTACGAAAACTTCAAAAAGCAAGTAACATAATGTCAAATAGCATATTACGCCTTTGGTATGAGATCGTGATTGGAGAGGGAATCTAGAGTGGAGGGGATGGACAAAGAAAGCCAACACAAACGCCACATTAGCAAATGTGTCCATCGTCCTTGGAACTCCAGCCTGGAAATCGGGAGGCACCAACTTCGAAGTGAGGGTTTTCATTCCTCTAGACCAAGTGATCACTTAAACTCCCCTCTTCCTCTTTTATACAGATTCCGGGCGCGCAAACAACGCACGAAGCGAGCGCCGCCGTACCGGCATGCGCAACACGTGGCTCAGTCATCGGAGCCTGATGCGTGATATAATGGTGGTAATCAGTTCACTCGCTTTTCCTGCACCAAATACACGACGTGCTAAGCTCAAAAAGCGGGTACATCCAGTGTGGAAAGGCGCACGGCGAAGCCACTGCTTTGTGTACGTCTAAGACGCACAGTTCCCAAGTTAGATAGACAGTAATGCTTCTGTTCTGCTTGTTGAAGGAGTGTGGGCCTGCTGCGTTGATGAAACGTGGCTCCCATTCACATGCCTCCCGGTCTTATTCCTTCGGATTTACACCGGATATGGGGTGTGCGGATAGAGCTGTGAGTGATGCAGCACAAGCCACCCATTGTCTCTCTGTAGGCGCAGGCATCTTGTGACTGTCCTATGGAGGCCACAGTGACAGGCAAAACCGGAACCAGATGCCATCAACCACATATTCAGATCGGTCACACCAGTGGCTGGGATCACATCTATACCCTTTCTCAACCGATTGAATCTATAACGCTTACAAATTCCCCCTTAGGGAAAGTCAGTTCATCCATAGACATTTTAATACGTTCCATAACGCTTTCAAGTTGAATGCAGAGGGCACGAACGCCCCTAAATGCTACGATTCATTGAGTGACCAAATCAAAATCATACAATGTCGTCCCACTCTCTGTGTAAAACTGCTTATTTGAAATTGGTTACTTTTAGGAGTGTTTGCGCCCGTTGGATTCAACTTGAAAGCACTATGGATTCAATTGGCTGAGAAAAGGTACAGTATGGTGCAGTTGTGAACCCTCTAGATACCTTGCTGCTGACTTCACATTCAGCATGTTCAGAACATTTATACTATTTCCTCAGAGAATCAGTGTATATTAGTATGCGTTATTCTGATGTTCAGCGTGCTTTTATCATTGACGTAACGCCACGTTTTGTGCCTCAACTAGTGATAGTGGCCCAGCAAGTATGAGGGGTTGTTCTTCGAAATACTCGACACAGCAACAAATCCACCGAACCTGAGAGTGTATCAACTGTGCATTTGCTTTAAACAATGTTTCACTCATAGCAGCCCTCCTTGAATTAATGCGTTGGAACAATGGTTGGGCGTTACCAACGGTTCTGTTCACCATCATACAACTAGATGACAGATCCTTCCGAAGATGACGGTCAAAGGACACTTAATGGTGTTGTGGACAGGCCAAAAGAAGCTGTCAAATGGAGTAACTTGTCGTACCAGATCGAGCAGGTCCCGATAAATTCATTAGACACGGAGCACAAGCGATGGTAAAGACAATTCTCGCGGTGAAATGGAGGCAATTCCGATCGGCATTGGTTCGGCCAATAATAACTGGGGTCTCGATTCGGGCATCATAATTCTGTCTTGTGAATCATAAGTTCAGATAACGATTAAGCAGCATTGAAGTTGGTTGCGCACTACAATATCAGTGAAATCATGTCAACAAAAATGACCAACAAGTGAGTGAAGTGCGACCGAATGTAACTAGTGTTGCAGGCATGTTATCATCAGACATCAATGTTCAGTTATAAACAGAAATAACAGAATTTATGAGAGTTTAATGAGAACCGGAGGTAGAACTATGTAGTCTGTATGGTATTCGTGGTGGTCTGTCGCAAAGCGCAGCAGAATGCAAAAGTCAGTCAGAACTTCGATCAAGAATCTATTCACATGACAAATAAACCCATTATTTACAGGGTAACACAAATGACGGAATTGGCAGAGCAACGTGTTTCACGAGCTTACTCGGTTGAACAGCTTTCATGCTGGTCCAGAGTCTCGGGCCGACAACACAAATGATCCGAAGTCGGTGAAAAGTACCACTGGCATATTTAAATGGTTTTTGTGGTTGTTTCCATAATCCCGTGTGGATAACACGATAAATCTGCCAGACGAGTTAATTGCCACTGACATGTCTGAACGGTTGATAGTCACTTTAGTGTCTTACCCCAACCAGACGCCATACAGAATCGCAGATCCCGATGGTGAGAAAGTGATACAAGAATGCTAACGGTTTATTCACAAATACATGATTTATCGCTGAGGTATGGAGGTGCTTGATGCGGTGCAAACGAGTGGGCGATGTGGCTTGTCAGCGCTAGTTGTTATATGATCACCAAGGTCACCTCGGCCACTGCGATTGGCTGTTTACGAAAACCTGCCCGCCCTCGACTGGCTGATCAAAAAGGCAAGGTTGTAGATAATGTAATGACTGCCAAGCAGGAAATGATTGCACAGGGCAGGGTACCAATATTTATTTGATTGTGGTGGCCTTTCTGAACGTTCTCTGTTCTCTTCATTACTTACCAATAATAGTATTAGATTGTGCGAGAATATTATTTTGATTAACTGATGCAATAACCCTGCTCGATTTATGGAAAACAATTAGACTTTATCCTTTTAGGGTTCACTGATCCGTTCGTTGGGAGGTGCTCGAGAAATAAACGACCAGTCGAGTTGATGAGACTAACAGCTGCGAAAGTTCATCAATGATTGGCTTCGGGGTGAATTTAACCAAGATTAAAGCAGTGATAGCAAAAAGCACACAGAAGTACGCGCAAGTGGAACAAATAGAAGTGATGCATAATGTTGTAACACGGATTTGCACAATTAGATTGGCAAGTGGTGTACCGAAGGTAGATGGGTTGCAATATATGCACATTGGCGTATTAAGCAGTGGTCATTTAAAAAATTGTTACCACGTCGTCCCATGTCAAGATGTGATAGACTGACCACCAACCTTGGAAGCAGGGACAAAGTGACTCGGGTTCGCTTGCAAGAGGCTGACGGCCGTTGAACAATCCTCCTTCAGTCGATCCTGAAGATAAAAAAGAAAAGGAAGTAGCAAAAGAACGGTAACCGCAAGTCCAACATATCGACAGAATGTGTCGATATCAGTCAATAGGTTGCGCAGCGCAAAGTTTAGAGATGAAGAGAGTATGGAGGTAACGGAAAATAAGCTGACATTATCAAAAATGACGAAGAGAGGACGGTATCAGGGGAGCATTCGTACCGTGCTATCTGACATAAAACTGAAGGAAGTGACATACCACCGCTTTAAATATGTTTGCCTTATCGCTAAAAGGAAGCCAGTTAACAAATCGATGAAATCATCGCTTGTCATCCCTCGTCTTACGGGTAACTCCTAACAAAAACCGACCAAAATATGTCTGCTTATTGATGACGCTGGCGGGTTCATGAATGAATAAACTGACACTGTCTAATGCAAACCTCAGACCTATTTCTTCCGCCCAATTGGATACAGTACACTGCACTCTAGCAAACTTGATGGAAACCAACGCCGGTCCGTAGTCAGTATTCTGAGACTGTATTTAAGAGCAAGTAGAAAGGTCACTGTACAACTCTATCGAATTAAGAAAATTCAAAATTTACTTGTGAATTATCAGCAGTTGTGTCTGGTCCGTTAATCGTTTATCTGTGTTCGGTTAGAAATTTGTACTAGCGTCATTATTTCCGGACATACAATGTCTTCTTTTGACACTGTATGTGCATCGTTTCACAAAAGCACAGGTTTCCAAAATAATCGTCGATACGGGTTTTAAAACACTTCACAGAATCGGCCTCTATTAATCCTTCAGGTAGTGTATTCCATAGGTTTACGATTCTTCGTTCGATACAAAGTTGATGTGATACTTTGTTCATGCCGGGGACCCTGAGTTTGTAACGATGTCCTCGGGTGTTACATGGTTCTCGCAGGTGAAATATTGGCCGCAGTATGGGGAAGTGGCTCAAGTGTAGTACTCGATGGGTCGTAATAAGATCAATTCTTACTCGGCGATAGGATAGTGTGTAGAGTCCGATCTTTTCACAACGTTTTTCATACGGAAGCTTTCGTAGACTTGGTATCATTCTAGTTGCGATATGCTGTATTTTCTCCAGCTTTGCAGTTTCCCACGAGGTTATCGGCTGGTAAGCTGGGGCACCGTATTCAAGGATTGGTCTAATGAGCGAGGTGAATAGACGAGGGACGGTTTCTTCGGACCATGTGGAGAAACTGCGTCTTAATGCCCAGAGCATACGAAGTCCCGCACGGTACAATTTCTCTGTATTTTCTAGTGATCTTAAATCATGTAGTGAGAGAACTCCTAAGTCTCTGACAGATGTGTTGGGATGGAGCAACTGGCCGTCCAAGGTGTATGATCGAGTGGCTGGACGTCTGGTGATACTGATGAACTCCGACTTGCTTGCGTTAAGAGGGAGTTGCATTTCAGTGGACCACGTTGACAGTCGCTCTAAGTCATGCTGGAGGCGAGCGCAGTCGTCCTGGTTTTCAATGATCCTCCAGATTTTCAAATCATCTGCAAACAGGGCACATGGTGACTGGAGCTGCTGCGGAAGATCGTTGATTTGAATGAGAAATAATACTGGCCCAAGTACAGTTCCTTGAGGCACGCCACTGGTTGATGGGAACCATTCTGTCAGATAGTCATTGACCTGTACTCTAAACCTTCGTCCCGCAATAAACTCTTGTATCCACTGAAGTAACGTGCCACCGATTCCGTATGTCCTCAGTTTACGAAGGAGTACCTCGTGGTTCACTCTGTCAAACGCCTTACTAAAGTCGATGTAGACCACGTCAACATCCTTCTGTTCATTGAGACCTCGAACCAACTGGTGGTTTGCGTACATCAAGTTGGTGATGCAGGATCGCCCTTTCCTAAAGCCGTGTTGCGCTGGCGTCAATACGTCCATCGATTCGAAGAACCACAGCAGACACCTTTTCATAACCTTCTCGAGCACGTTGGATAATACCGAAGTCAAACAGATCGGTCTATAGTTCTCTATTTTACTCGGATCACCACCCTTGGGAAGCGGTTTAACTATCGAGCATTTCCAGTCGTTCGGGACGGATCCTTCAGAGAGCGATCTATTGAAAAGTTTTGTCACAGCTGGTGAGATGATAATCGATAGCGACTTGAGTATTAGTGGGTGAAGTCCGTCTGGTCCGGGGGGCTTTGCACCATCAAGGTTGACGAGTAGCTGGTACACTTCGACTGCATCACATTGTAGGCTGTCGAGCAAGACTTGCGCAACCTGTGCCGGCACTGGAACAGCCGCCGGTTTACTGGAAAATACAGTGAGGAAGTGCGTAGCAAGGGCGTCCGCGCGCTCCGCGCTTGAAATGAGTGTCTTCCCGTCTAAGCTCTCTAAGACCGGTAGGTCGCCCCCAGGTTTCAGTTGACGTTTCAAGTAGGCAAATATTCTTTTGGGTGCAGTTGTGGCCGAGGATGCTAGCTCCTCTTCGAACTGCCGGCGTTTCTTGATCTTTGCGGCGTTACATAAGTTACGCTGTTTCTTGTACACCGTGTAATCTTCATCACAACCCGAGCTGATGTATCTATCCCAAAGTTTGCGACGTCGTCGCGCTAACTGTCTGTATTCCCTATCAAACCAATGCGGTTTGACAGGTCCGATTTTAGATGGTTCACCCGCTTGTCGTCGCATAATCTTTGTGAAACGGTCCATAATTACAAGAAGGAAAAGTGCAGACAGTGACTACAGAACACGTTGATAGAGGCCAATGAGGAAAACGCTACTCGTGATACTGGTAAGGAAGTCCTTAACGTATCAAATGTGAAACTTGTTACAGAAAGCCGTCTGTGGCAGCCTACGAAGCCAGCTCTCTGTCTGAAGCAGCGAGAATGAAGGTTGTATGCCGCCCGTAGCCGAGGAGAGTAAGCCAATGGTATCGTTTTACCTTGAAGTGGACCAATCAGAAGGACCTGCCTTGAAGCCCTTCAGTAAGCGCCTTACTTGACCAGCCAAGAAGAGTTTTTGCGTATTTAGTAGTTGATACAGTCAGGAACTTTTAACTAGGTCTATGGTCTCATGAACTATTTATTTTGATCCCATATTTTGGCAATATATTCCGTCTTCCGGGTGCTGCATACAAGTTCCGCCAGAAGACTGTCTTCTGATTTGGAAAGTGTCTGTATCGTGACCAGAGTGGTTGCATCGGTTATCCGTACTGACAGCGGAAACACAACACAACTTGAGGATCAACAACTGGAAGCCTAAGTATCGATTATAAAGCTGCGCTCAATAAGATGAATCGGCTAATGGTCCAGGCACAGTTTAAGAATCTTTCCGACCAGTTGACAGAACTCCATTCGACCAGCCAAGACGCTGCCAATTGGTTTAAAAATAAATTGACCGACATCACTCATGAGGTTCTTATGGTACCGGTGAGCGAGAAATATATGCTTACAAGCAGAAACCTGCAGGCGTTACGAGAGTTGTAGGAAAAGGGAGTGGTTGTATTGAAGCTTGACAAAGACTCAGACGTAGGTCATGAACACAATCAAATACATTTAGAAAATACTGTGTACTGAGCGACAAGAGCAAATTTCAATGTATAAATCGACCGGACAGTCTGTCACAGGTAGAATTTCGCATCACTACTGTCAACTTGCGTCATCGACCAGGAGCCGAATGGCACACATAAACGGCACAGCTGCACGGGTTTCCAGATTCACAAGCAAGGGATGCCACTCCGACCAATTTTATCAATGATGACTTCCTCGAAGCATCAATTGGCGCTGTGGCTGGTGAAAATATTAACCCCACCCAAGATTTTAATCTAAACGGCGTTAAGGGTTTCCCCAGACTCATAGAAGACCTCGACCGAAATAACACAGCTGAAAAGGTCATGTGTTTTTAAACGTTCAACCATTGTCTACTAATGTCTCATTGATCGAGAGAGTCGAATACATATACCAGTTGATTGATGTGAAAAACTGTGTGCAGATACCGACAGACGTACTCAGACAGTCTGCTACTCTGCACAGAAAACGTTGGATTCTGTTTCCAAAAAACCACATACCACCAAATTGATAAGGTGGGTTTGGGCAGTCTGCCAGGCCCGTACTTGCCGTTTTTTACAAGATAACGCTAAAATAAAAATCAACTGGGGAGAATTCTCAGCTTCCTTACTACAAACTACATGCTGATGACATTATCGTATTCAGCTTTCCGGGAGTGCAAAATGAGCGCTTGTTGCACCAGCTTAATAGCGCCCATGTTAACTTAAAAGTTACTCATGAATTCGAGACGAATGACCACGCTAGGTACCTGGGCATTCTCATCAACCGAAGGGATACCGCGCTGGTTGAGCGGTCCGTCTATTGGAAACCATCATGTTCTGGTCAATGCGTACAAGTTGCCAGTTTCAACAATTGGGTCGAAAGAGTGCGCAGGTGAAAACTTTGTTCACTCGTGTCAGGCCCAGTTGCTCGAGTGACTGAGGTGACGCGCAAGGAAAACAGTTACCCTAAACGCTTCATCGAGAAACATCATTAGGTCAAACCGCCGAAGGATACGGTGTTCATAGGATCGAAGAAAAAGGTATACCTCGAGCTCCTGTCTAAAGGTAACGCTGCCACAACGAGAACGACTAAGCGTCAAAGCTGTGCCACCCAGAGAACCTACTGCGCCGCGGATGCTCTAATGATCAATAGAAGTCGGAACCTATCGCGACCTTCGGTAAAGGAAGAGGAACCCATCAGCGCCAAAATCACTGCGTTTACCAATTTGAGTATAACTGAGGAGTTAGTTACAAAGACAGTGTTACGGAGAGCCAGCTTACGGTCAGCGTACAAGCCGAGAACCGTGACGCAACATTGGATCGATCTACAATTAGAGAACGAATTAGAGCAGAGATCAGACGAGAATCTATGTGGGGTCAGCAGCAAGCTGAACAGTATGAGTTATGTTAATTTATATTAATTAGGATCTTCAAGGTTGTTGTGTTAGTAGTTGCCTTCAACCTACTTATTGCGCTATGCTCCAATACACTAC